GGGTGCCCATGAATGCCCCAGCGGGCATCATGGCGCCCGCGGGCACCGCGTTGGGGACCACTGGTCTATAAGGTGCCACAGGACTCCTCGTCGCTTTTGCAGATTCAGACTAACACGGATACCCCTCTGATACTAGACCAGCTTAGTACATGCAAAAGTATAACTAATCTTGTTCTGACTGGCGTTTCACAAGGCATTGGACTGAGCTAACTTACATTCTAGGCTGCTTTAATTACGAAAATAGTCAGAAGTTGCAAATCCCTAGAAAAGCAGGCTAGCTGAGCTCAGAGAAGCAGGGGAGGAGATAAAAGTAGAAACCTCCTTCCTTGGAGGATGCTATCACCTAGCAAACTGCTGCATTCTCGTATCATTTCTCTTGCCAAAATATTACTGCAGAGTGTTCAGAAGCAAACAATCGGGTCTGTGTTTTCTTTTCAAACAAGTATGGATCTGCAGCAAGGAGGCTGATCTTAAGTTTTCCGGTGAACACGCTCTCTAATGCCAGCAATGAAAAAAGGAAACAACAGATACTTGTTATTTACAGTGCCTTCCCTGCAGCTGTAAAAGCAGTGTGCTCAGGAATAAGATGCAGTGATATAGTTGAAGGGGAAGGGGCTAGGGAAATTTCCAGCCTCTGAAAAATAAACAGTGTTCCTGTTTCCATAAATCGCCCGCAGGGGGATGTATTTCCCCCTTCTTGATAGCACTTCACATTATCCCTTCCTAAATAAATCTTGACTTACTATTTCCTTTTGTCTGTAGATATGAGACCTATTGTGTGGCTAGGAATTTAGATGGGAGTCTAAGGAAGCTAAGCATGTAAATCCTATTGACATTCAATGGCTGTTGGGTACCTAATTCCCTTAAGCTCCCTGGAAAAGCCCAGCCTTAACACACAGACCACTAAGAAGCTAGTTGGAAGCCTTCAAGAAACCCACAAGTAATCTGGACCCTGACCTGAAGCCACACTCCACGGGGCATGTATGTACTTTGCTGTAAATCTATCTTCAAAAAACACAAATAGACGGCTATACAGAACTCACATGCTAGTTGAAAACCCTCTTGCCCTTTTATATAAGGTGGTGCTATTAAAGCAGAGCTGTTCTTAAGAAGAAATGAGACCCCAAAGTGATTCAAGGCTGCTTTCCCGTAGGGACTCCCAAAAAACTTCCTCTTTACTCTTGATCCTTAAAGTGACTCATAAAGATCCAGCACTGAGCTACTGAAAAGGAAGGCAGGTAATGTGTCTGGAACACAGTAGTTAGCAGTCTTGGTGCTGCAGAGAATTCTGCTGGCTGAGTTAATTATTAAAATTAGAGGCAACAAATTCTGGAAGGAATATTAAACATCATACTTCAGGGCTCAAGCCAGTCTCTAAGGATACATCTACACCACAATGTATCCTGAAATAGCTACCCCGCATCTTTTGAACATGTCTGCTATTTCAGAATATAACAGACATGCTATTTCGGCATCCCTGTAAACCTCGTTCTATGGGGGATAAGGGATGTTTCGAAATAGCCTATTTCGAAAGAGAATTGAAATAAGATACACAATTTGCATAGTGCAAATTGTGTATCTTCTTTTGAGCTAAGGGTGTAGTATAGATGCACCCTAAGTATTAAAGACCCGGATAAGATGGGGGTGTGGGGTCCGGGGCAAATGCTCCCCTATTTGCCTATTCTTGAAATTTCCTCTGAAGCGTCTGATACAGACCCCGGTCAGAAACAGGACACTGGACTAGGTGGACCCCAGGTCTGATTCAATCTGGCAGTACCTATTCCCTAACAAGCACCAGTGACTGGGGAGGGAGAACTCACCTATGATCAGAAGAAACACGCCTGCTCCGTAATCCACTGTCGGATGGAGTTTGGAAAGGTATTGCTGCTCCATGGCCCCTTGTGGCAGGGGGGAAAGATTTAAATCACAGACAAAGCAATGCTAGTCGGGACGGGGAAGAGGCTCTTCCTCATGGTTTGTCCGGAGTTTGTCCACAGGTCCAGTCGGAGAGAAGGGTGAAGGGTCCCCCCTGTGCATTCTCATCTCGCCATCTCCCCGGGGCTCCCTGGCAGGCGATGAGAGTGGAGCTGGGGAACGCGCTCCTCCCGGAGAGGAGTCAGAGCTCGCCAGTCACCTCTGCACACTCGCAGCCCGACTGGCTCCCAGCGCCTCCCTCCACCCCACTGTTCTGCTCTCTGGCTTGTTAAACAAATTCTCCCTGGCAAATCCCCGCCCAGTGCAATGCAGAAGGCAAAAGCAATAGATGCTATGAAGCAGGGGACTTTTATGAGGCATGGGGATGAGAGGACTCAAGTTTCTCTTTGCTCTGCCCTGTTACTAGGCATGGTGTTTACATCTGCAATGCCTGGGGGGGTCACAGTCCCACTCCAGCTGGCAGGGCTTCCAGAGACTAGCACAGGTGAGTACAATTCAGCTGCAGTGCCTGTCGCAGCCAAGACCCAGAATAGATTTGGAGCTGTGTGTAATTCCTAGGGTTGGGCCCAAACTAAAATCCCAGGTCCAAATACCCCAGCCTGCAATTTTGTAGCTGCGATCATGTCCAGATTTTGCAGCTGGCTGCTCTTTGTAGTTGTCTGCACATTGACTCCAAATCAGTATAAATATTCCAGAAAATTGGCTCCAGATCCAAAACGTAGTGCGGATTCTTGTCTAGTCACTAGGGGTATGTCTACACTACCCTGCTAGTTCGAACTAGCGGGGTAATGTATGCATACCGCACTTGCTAATGAAGCCCGGGATTTGAATTTCCCGGGCTTCATTAGCATAAGCGGGGAGCCG